AGGCCTTCCCATTAATGCCCAGGCCTATCTGTCTGAAGAATGCAAGGTGAAAGGTGGAACTGTTAAATGCTTTCTGTACTTCAACCAAGATTAAATTATCTCAGGGTGTAAATACCCATAAAGGGAGGAAATCCAGATCTCTGACTGAAGGCTCAGATCCTTACCATGCTGGGTCTAAAGAAAAAGAAGTATTCGTCAAGCCAATAGATGCTTCTAGCGATGCAGCCGCAACATTTATTTAATATGCTTATATTTTATGTATTTTTAAATGTATTTACGACTCATTTCACTCTGAAAAAGGAGCTCCGGATTTCAGATTTTATTACCTTTTTTCATTGTTCTTTTTCCTGTCCAGCTTGTGATGAGTTATAATTACAAGATCCTTAGAGTTTTGCCAAGCCAAATACAGATAGTCCTAGACTTATAATAGTTCATGATTATTCAAAGTTGTAGCAGCACTGAAAAGTGACCTATGTTTGTTTTTCACACTTATGACCTTAGCACCAGCTCCATGGCCACATGATCAAAATTCAGATGCTAGGCAATTGGCTCATACTTATGACAATTGCAGTGTCCTGGGGTCATGTGTCCACTTTTTGTGACCTTCTGGCAAGCAAAGTCAATGAAGAAGCCAGATTCACTTAACAACCGTGTTACTAATTTAATAACTGCAGTGATTCACTTAACCACTGTGGTAAGAAAGGTCATAAAATGGGGGAAAAACTCATTTAACAAATCCCTCACTTAGCAACAGAAACTCTGGGCTCAATTATGGTTGTAAATCTAGGATTACCTGTTACCCTATCCAATGATTCGGATGTTGTTTTTTCCTAAATTAGGGACGCTCTGCATCTGTCGTTAAATTTTATTCTATTATTTTCAGCCGATTTCTCCGAACTATCAAGCTCATTTGGAAGGTTGTTTTTACCTTCTCAAATCTATAGAGCCCCCTAACATCCCGGACATAAACTGTCTCAACTCCTTCCCTCAAAACAACGCAATAGAGCACTGCACACCAGAACAACTAGATACAAGGACAGATTTTTCCCAAACGCCATCACTCTGCTAAACAAATAATTCCCTCAACACTGTCCAACTATTACAAAGTCTACACTCCTATTACTGTTAATCTTCTCATCACTCCTTATCACCCATCCTCTCCCACTTATGATTGTAGGACTTTGTCGCTTGTATCCTTACGATTTATATTGACTGTTTCCTAGTATGATTTGATTGCTGATTGTACTCTATGACTATCATTAAGTGTTGTACGTTATGATTCTTGATTCTTAACGAATGTGTATTTTCTTTTATGTATACTGAGAGTATTTACACCAAGACAAATTCCTTGTGTGTCCAATCACACTTGGCCAATAAAGTTATTCTATTCTATTCTATTCTATTCTATTCTATTCTATTCTATTCTA